TACCACCATTGAATTAACTACTTCCATGAATTCGGTGTTCATCTTGTGCTAATGAGGTATGGCAACTTGAACCGATGCATATGTGTCTGGTCCTACGTTGTAGCTGATTGACTGACTACATGCATGATCAATTTGATAAAGATATCAACATAAAATGTAAAGGACTGATATGTGGTTTCATATTGTTTGATGTGCCACAGTTCAAAACTTGTTTGGGTAACGCATTTTTCATATGAATTATAACATGTGGAGCATTAGTCGAGAAACATCAATTCCTTAGCAGTGGATGTCCTTTCGATGTATGAAAATTGCATATAAGGTTATTTCCAGTGTCTTATTAGAATAATTACAACCATCCACAACTAGATAAATCGGAAGTAGAAAGCACAGAACAGCAATAGCATCATGTAATATGATGGGTTTACCATTATCACATGTCTCAATTTGTTTTATAATATATTGTTCGGGTCAGACATTATTTAAATTAGTTAAGCTTACCAGGGACAGTGTATGTGTAAAATATCTGCAGGAAAGAAAGTTTAACAGATATACTCAGTAATAATAATTAAATATTGTTGAATACGATATACTAAAAGGTGTAAGTACATTTAAGGGATTCTCAGTGAAGTAAACATCGATACTACAAACGATGCGAGTGATTTTATTTCGCAGACAGATTACGGCAAGTCATCCCGATCTCGAAAATTTACTGATCAAGTAACTAATATAAAGATATAGGATAAGATCTCTCTACTAAAGATAAGGCGTTATGGATGTTACAACTAGACGTTTCTGCATATTTAATTGCATTCGTGAATATAAAAGACAGTTTATTAAGTATCTTGAGAAAGATTAAATCTAGTTTAAGAAGTTTATTCTGACTGTTTGGTGTCGGTCACTGAGGAAAGAATTAAACCAAGCAAGCAAGGGTTTCTTATCCCGTAAGATGTTTGCTTATATGAAGCTGGTGGTTAACCATGTTGATAGCTTAGAAAAATGTCAAAGTACAGAACTGAAACTAGTTGTCCTCAGCTGCGTTGAGTAAAAACCAAATTAAAGAAGTCAAAGTGCCAGGTAACAAGATCTAGTTTTAAGTTGGGAATTGGCGATGAGCTTTCCCTTCAGTATACAGTTGGAAGCTTTATCACTAATAAGTTTTCCTATTATCCTAGAAATAACTGAAGTAATATTTATGAGCCGATATTTGTTTACTTCGGTTTTATGTTCATATTTGTATCGTGGCACAATATACACGATTTTCCAATAGTAAGAACCGTTTATCAAACTGCAAACAATCAATGATGTACATAAAACTAGTAAACAGCCAGTGCTTCTCCACTCTCCTAACATTGTATGATTATTACGACTTAACTGACTGGACGAAATCTTGTACTACCGATGTTCAAATCTTAACAAGACAAACTATAAGACAAAGGGCCACTAGCTGGTTGATTAATTATGTCAGTATCAGGGAATTAAAGGTAGTGTTTATGTAATAAGTATTTCAACTAAATAATTATGGCTACGAGTTATCTGTCAGTCAATATATTTGGATAATTAAAGATGAAAATGAACGTTACGAAGTAATTAATTAGGAGGTAGAGTTCTAACCTACGACGAAAATGCTATTTTTTCAAATTACCAGGAACCTAAGGTGTTTACTTGTAAACTCCAAATTGATTGATATTTAAAGGGAAATAAAAGTTGAGACTTATTTGGGCGTTTTATGGGTACAGTTTAGGAAGTCTTTGTCTCAAATCAAGAAGTGTCAACACAACTCGCTTTTTCGGATTCAGGAATCTCAATTCACTTTTCTGTCAAGATAATTGAAGTAAAATGTAAGTTTGTAGACGATAGGCACACTTGACTGTAGTTGTTTGTGTATATAAATTACTCAGAAAAATTTTTTTGCTTACATGTTTCTCTGAGTATTAAAATAGATTAAAGAGTTTTGTAAGCTAACTTTTTGGCGTAATTGTACAAAAAAAATATTGATACGGTATGTAATCTATATTTAAACTGGATTTTCGACCGCTATATAACGACATGTAAACCAAATGTCCAAATAACCTTATTAGAGATATGCATACAGTAGGGAATTATTGTGGATTACCATGTTGGTTCTTAACTTTACACCTAATATCACTAATTAACATTCAGTAACATCTCTTAATCTAACCTTCGAATATAATTAAAAAAGTCATTTACAGAACGAGGATATTAGGTAAATTTACTAAATCAAATCTCAAAAGAACAAAAAACGGAGTGGACCCTTCAAAAAAAAAACAAATAAAACAAGTAACACACAAGAAGAATTTTACAAACTGGTGTTTGTATAGATAGATCATCATGATGAATGTCTAGTATACAAACCAATAAATCAATTGACTCATCGATTAATCGAATGAATCAAACAAACAAATAAACCAAGGAGGAATTCTACTTTTAAAAGTGGGAACAGACAGAAAATTGTATATAAGTTGGTTGTGTATATGTGATAGTTACAGGACAAGTTAATTTAAAACATTCATTGAATAAAATCTAAACAGGATACGCCATTCACCAATGGTCTTTTTGTTATTTTATATCAAAATGACAACAAGGAAATAATTACGTTAATAATAACGAAAATGAAACTTATTGATAGCTAACAAACTCGTGGGTGGCAACAATAATAATCACAATGGTGGGAGTACAGGAGTAGTGAGGGTTTCAACCTCTACTACCACTGATATTACTACTAATAGGAAATAAGTGAAACAGAGCAGTTGTTAACCAATCAGAATACAAGAGTGAATGGAACAGAACAACACACAAAAAACGAGAACTCATATTTGCTCAATGAAGTAACAAAAGAGAAAATTAGATAATAGTGGACATGATGTATATTTATACATGTACACCTCTTGTTCAATTTGAAAAATGTCTATAATTGATAATAATGATAATAATAGACAGAGGACAGCAGTGTTGAGTGTTGGTTCAAGGAATAAAACAAATGAAAATAAGAAACAGGATACAAACATTAATACCACCAAGAAGGAAAAACAAAGCAGTCAATCCTCTGATATTACTCAGTGAATAAAAGAATACACAAAAAGTCTGAATTGATAAGTAATAATATTTGAAAATAACATCTACACTGGTGTTAATGATAATGATAAATAACGACTGTTTGTAGGCGCACACACAATCTTTAATAAATAAAACGGGTAGACAATAAGAAATCCGAGCCCTCTAAAAGGAAACAAATATGGTTACATATTGGCGTATTATATCTGTTGCATTTGTTTAATAGTAGAATCTAGAAGTGTGTAGACCAGAGAACAACAGAATAAGTTGACGGTAGAATTCAGAAAAATCAGTAAGACAAACTGCAGGAATGAATACAAAGAGAGCGATGATAATAACAAGTACTTACATTTGAACCATTATAGAATAAAACTAATGCGGTAATAAAGATTCATGTGTTGTGAAATTCTGAGTAGTTGCAATAGTAGTACTCGAAGTAGTAGTAATAGTAGTAGTAACTCTAGTTATGTTTACGCGGAAATAGGGATATGAAGTGGGACTAAAGGAAAACACATGCTAAAAAGGTGATTCTCATAATGTAATCCCAAAAAGGTTATGAAATAATAATAATAATAATCTAACAAACTGAAATAACACACATATATGTATTATATACACAAATATAAGTGACTATTGCGATGTACAGTTCATTTAGTAATGATAACAGTATGAAATAATATTAAATTACTTACTTATTGAATAACAATTAAAATAAGTATAAAAAACAGGAATATTTGATAGTGAGGAAATTCGAAGAAAACTATAGAAATTTAAAATAAAATTTATGTAATGAAGTGGCGCAGAGTAGAAGGGTACAAACACTAAGAGGATAAAAAAAGAACTCAAAAACTTCAACGAAATGCATAATAATAATAGTATTAATATAACAATATAATCCATCTGAGCTTGTGTCTTTTAGGACAAAAAACATTTCCTTGAGAAAATAATGACAATACAATAAAAATGATAACTAGGAGAGTTAATAACCACCTAAAGTAAGTTTAAATCAAAAAGTGTGTGTGTGTGTGTGTGCAGAAGATAAACCAGTTACAATAGTTAAGAATGTGAATCTGAGATAACAAAGGACAAGAAATGACGAGAAAGGGGGAAAACACAAAGGTAAATATTAGAAATAAAAGATAAACCAACTATACACATACGCACACTGGCAGAACGTATGTAAATAAAATATTCAAACAGAAAACAAGGTTCTAATTCTTGGTAGCAGTAGTTGTAATGTTAATGGTACCAGTTAGTAATATATCATTGAAGAATTTGAGAAGCGATCAGCCTGCACTTTTGCACACAAATTTACATTATTAAAATGTTGAAGAACCATGTGTACAACCATTTTCATTATCCTGCTTATTTGTTCTTTACATTTATTCTTTTATTGAGGAAAAAATGTTAGGTGAGGTCAGAACTTATTCCTCGCTCTTTTATTTCATTATTTAAACCATCACGAAGGTAGAATCACAGTGTAAAAAGAGGAAACAAGTAGTAAGAATGGAGATAGTCTTTTCTAAGAATTTTACATCGAATTCACATTTCTTCCTCTCACACACACGAGCAGAAAATGAATGGATCAAGAGTAGCTTTTTTCGTACACAATAATAAATATGGCAGCTTTGTTTCACGAAGATGAGGAGATATCAAAAAGAAACCAAATAATTTCAGTCAAACACGTATAAATTTGAGTGCATCTGTGTGCGTGTGACCAATTAGAAGGAGTGGCAGGAAATATCTCAGTCGAAAGTATTTTGTTAGTGTCATGATAAATGGTCATCTTTTGTGAAATTCTACGCACATATGTGTTATAACAAAAATTCAGCCACATAATAGTGCATGTGCGTGTATAAACGAGGAAGATACAAAGTTGTTTTAATGATAGAGGAAAAAAATGTGCGTGAGCAGTTTATTTGTTACATTTATTATTATTATTATTACCACTATTAATATTGCTGTTTGTGGCGGCAAATATATGACTATTTAATGTACGCCGCTTTTTGGTTGATGTGAATAAATAGTTTGATTAGGCGGTGTTGTATCTATTAGCGATGTGTCACGATGCTTACTCATACAATTAGCAGTTAAATCGCTAAGATTTCTGACAGGATTCTGATGTTGATCCCATAACATTGAAGATTTATCTAACGTTGGCAAAGTTTTTGTCCATACATTTGACTCATTTGTATCATCTTCAATATTTATACGAGGATTTGAATTTTGAAATTCTAAATGATTTATTTCTTCACTTTGATCATCAACAGGATCCCTTGTGAGACTATCTGTTTCGGAAGCAGTTGGTGTAGATGAACTGTGACTGCGTCCACCTTCTAAAGGACTTGGATTACTGGATGACTGCAGAGTTTCAGGACAAACGTTGAATCTAAACGATCCTGTACACTAGGCAATGAAGATGATGACATTGAACGATGAATATCAAAATCCAAATTATTTGACGAATCAATTTTACGCTTTAAATTTGAAGATAGCATAGATGATGCCATAGTTAAGTATCTAGATGATGAATTACCTGGATCAATCATAGAATTATTAGAAGTGAAATGATGTTTATGATGTGGATTAGAAGTAATAGAAGCAGTTGTATTCATAGCAGAAGCAATTCTCAAATGTGTCTCATCGCTAGAATTCATTGATTTGAGTTTATTGATTGACTAAAGAGAGAAAAAACAAATGATGAAAACTATTCATAGATGTATATTAGATAGAGGCAGTATATAAATATAACGCAGAGCAGTTAACACATTCACGTTAATATGATACCAGTTATGCACAGTGCCTGTTGAATAAGCTAAAAATGTATGGGCTGATTGGTCAAACTGTAATGAATTGAGTACGTGATTTATTGGGTACGAATTGAATTATACAAGACTATTAACCGAAAATTCAATTGTCATTTTAGTTAAAGTAATATTATAAGAAAAATTGCAAATACTGAAACATGAAACTGCCTTCAGTTTTATTCAGTCTATTTCATTCTGAACAAATCAGTAAGATAATTGTTATTCGACTAACGACAAGAAACCTTAAAAACGTAATCATCAACCGGAATTTTCCTGATGATAATAACTAACCTGGATCAGAACTGGTGTTAACTTTTATAAAGAAAAAAAACAACTAAGTATAACTCCATCTCTATTCAATATTTTTCTCATTTGAATTGAGGCACAAACCTAATATACATAATTTTAGTGTTAGCATTGTCTAATTCGGTTACTTTACTAAGTAGAGTGATAGGCCATATTCGTGCCATTTAATTAACTAATGTATGATTCCTCAGTGTTCAACAAGTATTATCCTCACAATCAAAAAAATCAGTTCAATGAGTCTGAATTATGATTTGCTAATACATTAGAAATAAAGTTAATGTGTTAATTAAATCCTATGTCTCATTCTCGTATTATTGTCAGAGTATTAAGTCATAAACTCAATTTAGCAAAGAATCAATGACTGATGATATTATGAATTTAATTTTAGTGATTCCAAATCTTCTCATGTCACAAATATCATTTGAAAAATCGAATGTTAGAAGTTTGGTCAAGGTAGAAAATTAGACCTACGCCTAGTTGCCTTAGTTAGTTGTTGAGATATATGATTAACCTTATGTAATATATGTATGAAGAAGATGGTCGCGTGATATCGTGGATTGATTGAAATTAGACATTAAAACTGTTGGATCACAGCTCAGTGATCTAAAGGTTAAGAGTTTCCGCGACACTGAAGTTCCTGGGTTCGATTTCTGCATGCAGAATCGTGAATGCGCACAGCTGAGAAGTCCCATACTAGGACGAAACGGCTGTCCAGTGCTCCCAGGTTTTCTATGGTGGTCTATCATTGATCTCAATTAAAACTCAACAATATCTACAACCCCATGCTGATATGTATAAGGAACTTGATTATTAGAACTAAATAAACAGTCAGCTACTGTCTCTCAAAACAAATCAACTCTTTTAATTACTATCAGGCCATGGGTGAAGGGGATGGAGGAATTATGAATTATAATTATAATCATCCTGAAAACGAACAAATAATTTATAGGGATCATTCTATACTTCACGTGATTTATGTGATGATAAATCATCTCGAGAGAGAATGAAATATATGCAAGAAAAGAAGAGCTGCAGTTCTCTTAAAGAACGTCAAACTTTTCCAACTTTAACTCGTCAACTATATTTCGTGCAACTTTACGAGAGAAGTGAAATGATGGAAAGAAAAAAGTTATTTAGTGGCTTAAGGAAATCGATTTCTACTCATTATTAGTCAAGTATCTGGTATAATATATTAATTGAATATCTCTATAGACAAATGATCATTTCAATTATTAAATATGTACTTAGTCGATTTGGTTGATAATTCTTTCATCTGATACCTAATCAGTTCTATTTTACCATGGATTGGGGAATCTGTTTATTTTATATGATGAAGTAAACAGAGTAAACTAATTCCACTTTTTCTTTATTAAATAAGTGGGAAAAAATCTGTAGACTTTTAGAATTACATTAATCTAATATATCATTCCACCAGTCAGCCCAGTGAAGACACGTTGTACAATATCTAAATAAATTCTACTCAAGCTAAATTATAAAATTCTTTTTAGCCTTAAAACTGTCTTAAATAACTTTATTGAAACGGGCAAACACCATCTTCATAAATGAAAGACAATCGCAGCGAAGCGAATTTATTCACAAAATCCAGTTAATTTTTGCCTAAATTAATAATCGAGAATATAACTTTCATATATGTTTACTACTCTTAACTGCTACGAAGTATACTTCTGTAAGAAACATAAATTTACCGAGAGATCTAATCGAGATACTACATTACTAAAACTATTGTAGACACACCCATATCGGTAATAACAAAATTTCACAGTAATATTCAGTCACACGACTTATAATTGATGCAAATGAATGTTATTAAATAAGGCGCATGACCTCTATATTGGACTATTTTAGTTAACCAGTTTAATATTTTATTTCAGTAACAAATAACTAAAGACAGTTTCACGTGATCTCCAACAAGTGACCTTTAGCTTACATATCCGGCGATAAATATTTCAGCAGTTAAATTTATATCCTACCAAATCTGTTTGGATTAAATTTCTAGAAAATGTATATTACGAAACTAAAATTTTTGAAGTATATAAAAATGTAAGGTTTATGAAGTTGTGATACACGTGAAAAGATTAAATAAAGCCATGAAACACTGAAAACATATTGTGATAGTAATGTCAACTTTAATTATTCTAGGTTAATTTACAAAAAGTTATTTCAACATGAATTTTATGGCTTGATGTCATTCATTCAATCCACATTTTCATGGTACTACAGCGTAATGCCAAGTATGACCATCTCATAATCACTTCACAATGATCCCATGTTAAGGAATGAAGCGATATAAGAATGGAAAAAGATCAAAGAAAACTTGATTACAAAAAAATTGGGTCAGATATCTCAGGACATTACATTAAATTGTGCAGCTCAGCTAGTACGAACCTAAGAAGAGAATTTACAAATCATGGTGAAGCTGAACTATACCGTTGAATGACCTTGAATCCTAACCTATTTAAGTAATTCAGGATGCCAGAAATAAAAGAAGACTCATTTTGCTGGGATTAGACATAGGATTAGGGATACAGAATACATGAATTAGAATCGGAACGTGAAATTTAGGGACATCCTAACTTAGTTAGAAATTATTGAGTCGTCAGGACTACAATTTAGGCTTTAAGGTTAGAATGGAGTTTGAGGTTTAGGTTAAAAATTCGTTTTTAAATTAGGGTTTGCAATTAAGATGGAGAGTTTAGTATTTAAGATTAGAGAATGATTAAGTATAACTTTACATGTAATATCTAACAGTAAAGCATAATTCCAACCCTAAACCTGAGTCAAAACACTAATCCTAACGGTAATGCCAAGTTACCAAGTTTTAAACCTTAATCTTAACTTGAATCATAAGCCTGAATCCTGAACACTTAAATCTGATCTTTAAATCTAACTTGTAGACTTAAAAATCAGCTTTATTTAAAGCAAATTAAAATATTTTCAGAGTGAAACTATTTATAATGCAGTGAACGAGCAACAACCTCACGGTGAGACCACTTATTTCATTATTAGTTAGCGACTTGCTGTTTGATAAATGCGCCGTAACTTTTTAGTGATTTGCATGTTCGCCTTTGGCTTGGTGGTATAGTTCAGCTTTATCGAAGTCATTAGTACAAATACACCACTAACTGCGCTCACATTTCAATCATCAATTAAGATAGGTAAATTTAGTAAAAGATTATCTACCTATTGGTGAGTATCTACAACTGAAACAAATTATGGACAGAAATAAAGCATTCATGGCATAAAAAATTAACTCATGTTTGTACATTTTTATGTTTATAGAGTGTTTACTATTTAATCTTTTAAGTGTGTATATCTTTACACCAATAATAAACACGCATGCACACAACACAACAGGCATAAAATGCCTACAATGAACACGGATATACAAACTTCTAGTCAAAACAAGGATGGTAAATTTCTAGTCTATCTAAATGTCAAACCGAACAGTATGAAACACGTTCATGTATGTATATGTAGTCCGATAATGAGTTTCTTACAAAATTTCTGTTTCATATGATCCGATATTTTACTTAGTAAAAGCCAGTTGAAGAATTTGTTGACAGTAGAAAGTACTGAAAAACTTTCCGCATAATTTCGGACTTCAAGTTACCCGTCTAAATCGCCCTCTAATGTGATCAAAATAAAAGTGCTCTGCCTTTGTGATGAGGACATTATCAATAAATTCTCTTATATTTCAGTGGACCAGTATATTATGATTTCCAATGCACTCAAATACATACCGAGTAATAAGTAGTTGTCCTGTCAACTATAAAAAAGTCTGTCAATCATTTGTCAGCAGAAACTGCTAAGTAAATACAAATCCACCGAAACATTGAATAAGAAATAAAATTGAAACTCACAGAGATAATTCGTGTTGGATCAATAATCAACGGTGAAAAATCATTTCGTGATAAACGAGACAAGTTATTGTTGTTACCGTCATAATTACTGACATTATTATTATTTTGGATAACAGAGTGAATCAACATATCATCTGATCTGTTGTTGAACCCAGACTTATTATCTAATTCTGTATCAAAAGGGTGAAATTGGTTCTGATTTCCAGCAGAGGTTGTGGATGTGGATGAAGTTGTTATCGTAGATAGAAGTGGTGGTTGAGATGATGCAAGTGGCGCGTTATTCGACATAAGTGGCATTGATGCATTATTATTATTATTATTGTTATTATTATTATTATTTGCAACAAAGCCCTGTAATTGAGGCTGACAATGTAGTAGTTGAGTTTGAGTTTGTGTAAGCTTCTGCAATATAAAAGAAACAGGAAACAAAATAATTATACGCTAAAATTGAGTTTATCGTCATTTCTTGTTAACTTAATCACAAACTAATTTCTCATGTACATTAATCATAAGTTTACAGTACTTAATATTTCTCTCAATACAATACACAGATCATTGACATTGGATGGGAAACATTTTTGATTTTTTGTATATTTTATAAATCTTTCAAATTGTATCTGTTAAGAATAAAATTCTTCTTATTATAACAGACTTTAAATATTCCAAGGATCAAATAAGAATGTTTCGGTATCGAAGCAATTTGTAAAATATTCATTAAAAAGAAAGAGTCAACCAACAGAAAATAATGAATCAACAATCAATCAATTTGTGTAAATTAAAATTCTACCCAGTAATTAATCAGTTTAGAAAGCTTGAACTACTGAAAGCACAGAGAATAAACACTGACCAAAGAGAATATTGATATCAGTTGGAAAAGCAACAAATTCCAGGGAAGGAAACATTGAAAAATGTGTAATAGGACTTGAACAGTTTGATGGAGAACATAATACAATCATACGCATTATTATGATCAGTTTGGATTCGATTTGACAATGAGTTTGAAATTTTTTTTCTTTACTTTTTATACAATATTTACAAATTTATAATACAATAACATTTGCTTCAAAGAGTTTAACAATATTAAAATACAACCTAATAAGTTATTTAAATATAAATTTATACAAGACTGTATGTATTGTAATTAACCGTTATAACTGTTTGATTTAATTGAATTAAGAATAAGTTTCGTGTACAGATCGTTTTGAAGTTGCATAGAAGCTTTCATATATTGACAAGTAATATTAACCTGTCAATTATTTAAAAATTACCCTGGAAAATATGATCTTATATCAAGAAACACTTTATAACAACAAATCATTGACAAGTAACAAAGTATAATGTAACAAAGTGAATATAAGAAAATGATATTTCATTTCAAGTGTTAATCAATCAAGCATGTTAAGAAGACTTTCTTTTATTGTTAAAATCTATGTGTATCATTTATATTAAGCCTTTTGAATTGAACTATACAAATAGAACTTAAAGCCATAATAAATATATGGTAATTTACTGAGTTATTTATGTTTATCTGGACAAAAATATTCGGTTGGGCGCATTCTAATGTATTTTAAAGGTTAAATAACAAAATATTGTAGAGAGAGATAGAGAAAGCGATTATTTATGTTTTATGATTATAATCCGCTCACATGAAATACTTCGTAATACTTTTTCTGTTTAATATATCAACTTCTGAATCATATGATGTTTAAGTAAATTAATTGAAAAGAAATAGTTCATTAGATCGTTTAGTAAAGCGATTATTCAAAGACAATTGATATTACCAACTGAAACAACACTTCAAAAGTTTATTTTTAAAACTATAGATATTTTAAAAAAAAGGAAGAATAAATCACCTTTTGTAAACAATAGGGGAAAATTTTTCTCAATCCCTATCTTTTTTTTCCTATTTTAGTTTATAATCTAATATTCATATTTTTTTATCATCGTAAAACACTGAAATTATAATACAACCAGTGAAGTCCAATTATGTTGACTATAAGATAAATACCAATCAATGAATGGATAATGGTCTTACGATAACGATAACTGACTGCTGAGTCTTATTACAAGAGGAGAACAGTTGTCAAATGCTTTCTGGTTTGCATTAATTGTGAAACTAAGGTAAGTCTGTGGTGTAAAACTACAAATAATTAAATCATTGGATATTAAAATTTTTAAACCGCTATTAGGTCAGTCTACATCTGACATTTATTTTGCTATCTTATTCGGTTGAACTAGATAATAAGAAAACTAGTAATCACTGTACTAATAAAACTATTTCACCTCAGTCCACGAATATCCTGCTCCTTTGTCTTGGAAATGAAATACGAAACAACTTCTTCCTCATTATATTAACTAGTCACCAGATATCTCAGTTAAACCAAGCTTGAAATACCCTTGGTTAGCATGTCTAGAATAACGACTGACAACGGGAAACTTGAGTATTGACAAGATAAGAGTTATCAAGCCCATAGTTACTGATCGATGCTCTAACATGCAAGTCAAAGAAACCGATCGTTCAATGTATTTTAACATGAACAATGCTAGTCTAAAAAAAAGAAACTTATACAAAGCTGGGAAAGAAATAAGGAAAATATACACGCTTGTTATCGTTCAAATGTAGTTTCGAACGAAAAAATGGTTGGCTTGAATATATATTCACCGATAAGTGTGAATCTTTTAAAAAATGTATGTCATTCAGCAAAAGCCTAGATATAAAATGAGAATGTATGAAATGGATGCAGTTCTAATTGATGGACAGAAAGGACAAAAACATAAGGCAGGAAGGAAAAAGAGGATGTCACAGTTTTTATTATTGTTATTGCAGATATCAATCTCTAAAATCTAGAATAAAAGACAACCACAAACAACAGCTGTAAGTAGGGAAAAAAACTGCCACCTAAAGCACCACCGCCCATTATATAAAACAACCAACTAAGCTACATCCATACAGCATGAACCAATAAACATATAATTACTAAATGAATGTGAATATATAACAATTAGAAAAACCCTTGGGTAGTGTCCTCTTTCATGGATAAGATATCAATTAGGTACAGAGTAACAAAGACAAGCAATTTGCAACGAACTAACAACTTAACTCACTTCTAATGTCAACGAAAAAAAGAAATAAGAATACATGTTTACAAATGCATCATTTTTCGTGTCTATGTGTACAATTATAACATGTGTTAGAAATTTTAAACACATACAACAAGATAGACTGATTACTTTAAGCTTGTCTAGATTGAATAATGGTCAGAGAAAATTTTCTTCTAGTCAGGTCTTAATGGACTAGATTTCAGATACAACAATCGTTTATAATAATAAATTAAACTAGTGTTTTTAATAATTTTTTTTAAAGGCAGTCACTTATTATAAATGCCAAAAAGCAAATTTATTTAGATCAAAATATAAACAGATCTACGTTTTCTTGGAAAATTATAACTTTTACAGGTTAGAAGTTTTCTCCATGATAACGCATTGAATGTGAATTTTAAGCAGTAAGAGTATGCTTTCGCATGATGATCATATGAGTCTAACAATATAACATACTTTGTAACCACAGTAACAATATATGTAGATCACTTCGAATGACATTGTGTTGTAGTTCTTCATTTATGTGATTCTAGATCATTCTAAAACAGCGAAGTCCCACAGTAATCTTGTAGAAAAATGAGTTTATGCTAATATTTTAGCCTGGTATTTTTTACCAGGATGAATTCTTCCAGTGCAATGTACTCAATGAGATATAACAATCAACAGAATTCAATCTACTAACCAATGAAAAAAATAATAATCGGCTGCAAAATCAAAGACCGGATCAAAGCAAAAGAGTAATCAAACTATTTAACTAAACAATGATGGTACAACTATCAACAATAATCAAACATATCTTATATCTCAACAAGACAGGCTGTTAGCTAATCCAAGGAGGAAATTTGAAAAGCTTACTTCTTTTTTAACGTTTAACTTGTCTAGAAAAATAATGAAGGCTTCACATTTTAAACTATCTTCAACACTGACGCTATGATGTCAACAAAACACTGATTCGGTTATCCTATATGATTATAAAAACTATGACGTCATAAAAACTCAAATGAATAATTCATGTACTTTTTCTGTTGATGAACTTACTGAGGAACTTACTTATTCAATGCAGTGAAAATCAACTCATTTAAAAAGACACACTGCGTAGGTGAATTTGAATGACTAGTTATTTGAATGGTTCAAACACTTCGTTTCAGTTTACGTAATAAACTCATCCATTTAATAATCTACAAGGAAGTACTCATTCCAATTCCAAGTAAATTGTTTTATTTTATCTGAATGTCATATTAATTATAACTCCAAGAACACAACACCAATAAAGTATCCACCTGAGCTGTAAAGCTCCAGTATTTTAATATCGGGAGTGCTTTTGTATTGTTAGCATATAGCGAAAGCACTGAAGAATACAGGTGTTGAGAAAAGATATAAAATACTAAAGAGACAACAATGCAGTTGATGAAATTATAATAATTCATCAACCTAGGTGACTAAGACAAACACTGTCTGTTTGTTAATATATGAATTTTTACATTGATGAGGACGAAAAATAACAGATTTCCGACAAGGGATGAAATTAATATTGTGGTGTATGCTGCTTGTGTCGACAGATATAAGTAGTATATAGCACCAATCGGAAGTTGAATGCCTGCGAGCAGAAGATTGAGAGCATTGAAATGAAGAGGAGAGCAGAAAACTAAAAGAAGTCAAAATAACAACAGGAATGAAGGAACGAAATTTGTAAACGACAACTGATGGAAGATGTGCAAATGACGTATTTAATGTATGATTTTCATATCCTACGAGCACAGTGTAATTTTGTAATAAACAATAAATTTGTCTTTCCCACGATATTACTGACAGGAATACATTGTTTATTTTTTCAATACGATATAAAGTAAAACGGGTTGAATACACGCATTGTTACTAATGAGCAGATATAGAGTAATATTTAAAAGAAAACAGTAGTAAGCAATATCAAAATATTACCTCATGGAGTTTTTGATTTTCATCCATCAATGATGCTATATGTGTAGCATAACAAGTTTGCATAGATATGAATTGCTCAAACAACCTTTGACGTGCTGCGTCTACACCAGACCTTGATTCAACTGCAATTGTATATTCATTGATAAGTCGAACTAAATCTGCCCAAATCGCTTCTAAAGCTAAAACCGCAGCAGGTAGACTATTTTTCATTGGATTTGTCACTAATACTGGAGTATTATTCACTGGATTTGAATAAGGATTATGGGTATCGACTGTATGAGGGACAGATCGTCTAGCATTTGGTAATTTCATAGAATCTCCATTAGAATTCTGTACATTAACTATAACAACAAATAACAGTTAAAATGTGAAACGTTATGAATATTTCAAGATTTAGTTATTCTCGTTTATTATAATACAAAATGACACTAACCGACAAACAGAAATCTAGAGATTTTTTGAAAAATATGATACCAAAGAGTATTTCTAAAAACAAAATTCTACAATTCTTTGCTATCAAGATAACCAATTTAAAAATGATGGTTTAGCGTTGTATAAGACATTTTCTAAGAAGTTTTAATAGTCACCCAGGAAAAATGACTAGTGCAGTATAGTTTACTGAACACATCATCCTAGAATGTTAATCATTGATGAAGTGATAGATTACCGAACACATATCAGCAATTACTCAACTTTATTTGGTTGTCAGTAGGTAAGAAATGTACTGGTTATTTTTCCCAAGTTACTTTTATGACCAACTTCGCATATAATTAAACAATTTTAATGAATTGATTATAAGAGGTTAGTGAAATATCAATTTATTGGAAATCTCTAAGAGCATCTCATGAAAGTAATTATGTTTTAATAGTATTAACATAACTTCCACAACATCACTTTCGCCATCACGAACCAAATCAGAAAAGCAATGATTAAGATGAGGAGCTTACAGGTAATGAATAAACGATATTACTGAGTCATTGCGCACATTTATCCTGAACAGAATGATTCCAAGTCGATAAACTTATGTGAATTAGGATGGTTGTGATGTATGTTACTTGTGTCTAGTCAGAATTTATTTCAATAACGATGTTGATTGGGACGAGAATTAACAGGAACCCTTAAATAGATCAAATCAATTTATAACTTGAGCTTCAATTCATTACAGAACTGTACATTTGCAAAACAGAGTCAATAAAATACTGGAAAGCCGTAGCCAGAGACTTTGGCTGAGAAAGCCAGAAAATGTACCACTATAGGGACGAAACAATAGTTCATTTGTACATAAGTCGTGAATATCCGATTTTTTTTAATTTAGCGTCTTTTCAAATATCTTTCATTTAATTATAATTAGTGGGATTTGAACCCACGATCTAGAGTTAAATATAAGCGTTTTAACTAATATACTACAACTCCATATTGGAACACAAGACAATAACAGGAAACAAATCAAGACACAATAAGAATCATTAAGTTTAAAATTCATCATTACTAACAACTATCCTTTAGAAACATTATTTCTTTTCTCTGGTTGAGAAATAAACAGGGAGACAGACGAGATAGACCAGTTTGTCTCTATCTAGTTGTCACAGTTACTGCAGACTATTTTAAGCATTTTATTTATCGATGATTGCCATGTGCTTAAATAAAATCAATATTCATATTCTCAAGTAAGACAAAGTAGTATTTTTTTAATTAAAAAAAAAACATAAAGTATTGATTTAACATTTACTTAGTGTGTTTTTGAAAAAGATTGGTATCTACAACTTTACTGTACAGTAAAAACCAACGTATACACTATTAACTATAGTGACTATTTCCACGGTTTAAATCAATTTTCGATTTCATAACTGTTAGAGTAATCCATATGAGTATTTAATCAGTTCATCAAAGTGCCTATGAGCTACAACTATTCTATAACAATTAACTTAACTATTCAGCTTTACAGACCAAAATATTTTAGTGATGAATTAACACTTGCCAGAGAATGCCGAAAATAAAATAAAACTTTAAACCAGTGAGACAACAATGGTTTATGAGTTGTGTCCTTTAGACAGAAGACTGATCAATAATTATGACCGTGTTATATTCAGGTTTAATTGTTAGATAGCAATATTAATAGCAGTTAATGGTTTGCAATATAATGTTAATGAAGTCGAACACTAGTTCCAAGAACAATAACTTTAAAATCCATAGAATATTACATTTTGTCCAATTAAGTTAACTGGAATTTAAACCCAACCTAGTGGACAACTGGTCCAGTTTAACAATAGCAATACCGTAAAAAAACTAATACAAATTCTAGCTTTCTTCAAGCATCTACACATAATTACGTTTAACTAAACAAATATATATCACATAAACCCTTATTTAGTTCTTAAAACAGGTAGCTTGTGGTTCGAAAACGTACAAGATCATATATTATAATCGATCTCAAGAAGTCATCATCAATCAGTGAACAGCTAGCATCAAGTAAAAATGGAATAATACACTTACTAAAATGTCGTGCCCATAAACCTGGGCCAGTTCGACTAGCTGCGCCTTGTGCAGCACGTGCGCAGCCATTGCTTTACATCGTTGTTTAATTCCACTCTTATCCATATGAGGTGGTGCGGATTTCTTTTGATATCCTTTAAAAGTTGATGTTGAGTTCGTCAACTTTTTTCTATTATGCTTATCATCGGAACACTCAATGTTATTTAGCGTGCTTGTTTGTCGGATGGAGTAAAACACTGGACAAGAAGATGTCCTTCGGAGTCTTTTAAATTTGTTGACACTTCCGCTGAGTGAACGTGCCCTAGATAATCTAGGTGAACATGAATTGGAAGGATTCTTCTTGACACACATAGAATCACATGATTTTAGCCCATCAGTAGTTCTGTGAGAATTGTGTTTAGGAGACGTAGAATTATGGTTACAATTGCAAGATGGCTTATTTTGATTCCACCGAAAATCTGGGACATCTAAATTCCCAGTAATTTTATTGCAACTACACCGACTGCTACTAGTACTGCTAGCACTAGAACTTCGAGTACGACTACTTCTTGAACCTGAGCTATATTCACTGCAAGAACGGGATATGGAGTCCTGAATAGAATCTCCTTCACTTTGCTTGCGTAGTGAACGCCTATGCCGACGTCTCCGACTTGATGATGATCTAGCAATGTTTTTACTATCAGTCCCATTGAACGGTTTCAGACAAACATTTGGTATAAAATCACGATCATAATGATGTGCAGCATCTTGAGTGACAACTCGATGAGAATGTAATAATAATGGAGGTCCAGTACGAAACTTTTCTGGAAGAGATTTTATCTCACTAGAAAAGAAGTAAACAATCATTTATTCAGATAGTAAAGGAAATGTAAAAACATATTAATTTGAATAATAAATAACACAACATTTCCCTTCACTTAAATGATCAATTCTATAAAGGGGGGATAATTAATGAATAACTTCAGTGAAAATCAAAGGACCCTGTGAATCAATAAGCATATCAATATAAATAACCCAAATAAATTATTAGCATGTTTAATACAGCATCAAGGTGGTTTGTAAAGAAAATGCGTACAGCATTGAATAGTGATCAATAACTCAAGATACTATAAATCCCAGGAGCCAAACCATTACACGAGGAATAAAGTAATTCTAGGAATATTGTACATGTTGATTCTAGTTATCTATCATTTTCAATCAATTTAAGCTTTTATCATCTACTTTCTTACTAAATCTATAACTTGGAGATAGCAAGCTGAAAATCTAAGCTATTAAATGGTAATTCAGTGATCTGAAACAAATAACCTGAAATTTGTGGGTTTGACTTTTAACGACTTCATGGGAGTAAACTGCTTAAGAGTTTCGCACTACGCTCTGGATTCAATATTAGTTCAGTTTATGTAAATTTAAGTATTTGGATTTAATTCATTCTCCAGGTACTTATATATGAGCCACAATCGACGTGTGAGGGCTAACGATACTACCTGGTTGCCTAAACTGAAGTGGGTGGAGCTAGGCTCAGACCTGGAACTTAGTGATGAAAATTCGAACCCCTTAATCATTGAACTACTGTGATCAAAGCTTCATATTTTCTGGTTTATAGTTGGCTCTTGTCTAGTGAAACACTGACAAGAATAAATAAGTACGACTTTTCACTAACAATAGAGGAACTATTGAATATATTTTAAAAACATTCGTATAAAACAATGATTTATGTAGGCGAAAATCTAAATAATTACTAGTTGTCTGTCCAAGCTTTATACATCAGTAAACCACGGATTCAGACACAATTTCTAAATATTTTAAAACGCAACATAGTTTACGGTAATAAAAAAAATCAGTATACGTCTCAGTTACAAAGTAAATAACTATGCAATTCAACTACTACCAGGCTATTGGAAATGTAAACAAAATCAAAATCTTGAAACTATCTCAGTACATGTAACGTCATAGTAATTCAAATGTAGTGCTAAGGTCAATGAGTGAAATTTAAGAAATGTCCACTACTTATAATACTAATGCTAAGATTATTTCAAAAATGAATTTAAATGGAATAGTGTTCTGTACTATATCATATTTAATGCACCCAGTTAACATGATTCTACCTAAAAAGTAGAAATTTCACAGTTTCAAATACAGTCAGCAACAAACACAATACCATACGGGTTAAAAGAAGAAATAATTTAGTCTGGACACTTAATTTAATTAATGCCTACTAAATGGCCAGATCATTAAAGTAAAAATTGTCAGTAATAAAACTAAGTGTATAGCACAACTTGGCGGAAACAAGTTATATTTCTTTCGAAGCTATCGTGTTAATCGATACAACATTAAAATAATAGTTCGGTAATTACATTGGTATTAAAACAGTGGATTTGATAATGAGTATCATGTTTACTGTACAGAAACCGATATTTTCTTGTTTAAAAACTGAATGCTTTTTTTATTTACTTAGTACATTTTCAAATGATTAGTGAATAATATCGGCAATCAATTCATACCATTTAGTGGCAGTACCAGAGGATAACAATTTTTAAGTTTTATTTCCAACTATAATTCATCCGAAAACAAGAACCTAACCGAGATCTGCTAATGTGTATTCAATCTAGAGTGAACAAACATATTTTTAAAATCGAACTAGATGAGTTGGTAATTATATACTCATTCTAACTTATACTCGGCAGGTAGAAACCATATTTCGTAACAAACAGAACAGTAAATAAGAACTTTCGTCTAAATTTGAACGAATAGTTTCACAATATTTGGGCGCCGAGTTAATTTGAGACATTAAAAAGAAGAATATATTTGTAAAATCTCAGCGAATGAATTTTAAGTAAATCCAACGTTTCGCCTGGCAATCTGGTCCATGTACCATGTACCTATTTATATTCGATAATTTTGTTGTTTGATTATATTTTCCTTGAAAAAGCTTGGACCAGATTGCCAGGCGAAACGTTGGATTTACTTAAAATTCATTCGCTGAGATTTTACAAATATATTCTTCTTTTTAAACAGAACAGTAATTTGATTTATTTATAACGTAACATCAAATCGAAACATTCTAATGAAAATAGTAACCATTACTTTGTATGACAAATTTGTGACTAGGCAATAGGAAGTAGTTATAAACTTTGGGGTAGAAAACCATATTTAACTAATTTTCCCTTCTTAGAAATAATTCAAGCCGAATATTTCTCCATGTTTCAACTTAAATTAAACATAACACATATCAGTAAGCTATAATGGATTTGCCTACTTATTAATTGTTTGTTCATGTAGCTACTTATAATCTAATTAATCTGATAAGTCTAATTATGTCAGGAAAATTTGTGCAGAGGCACAACTCATAGGCTCAACTTCAAAAGAAATGAAACAACTGTTATTTACTTAAACTACCTCCATTTGTATGGACCCTCTATTTAGTCTAAGTGGTCAACTACTCATTTTGGCTAGTAGTATTGTAGTGAACAAGAACACAAGTAGGGACAATCGAATGTATTTGAACACAAAAATTACAGAAAGTCTTAGTAAAATCTGAGAACTATATAGTAAATACTTCATTTGCAAAATGTCAATCGTCTCAGACTTCATTGTTTCCTCACTTCCACAGTAATCATTCTCTGTTCTCCTTCTTAACCTTCTGCCACCAGGCAATTCACTTTCTATTAATGATACATACTACTTATATCTGTCGACATCAGTAACACACCACAGTATGTGTCAGACCATTATGTTTAAAATCGATTACAAACATCGGGTGACAATTTGATCATATTATATTTCCTATCTTGAATTGTAAATCACGTGAACACTTGCCTTTAATCTCATAACTAGTATAGTTTCCTTAAATGATGCCATAACTAAAAAATTAGACATTAATATACAAAGATTTTACTATATCGGGTCCTGAAGTTGGACGACATATATAAATCTATAAAATAAAAGTTTTGTTTCGTTAATATAATGAATTCACTTAGAATACGAAAAGCGATAGGCCGACTTATTTTCAGATCATTAAAGAACTAATAACTGGGGGACAAAATACAACATAAGTACTTTCCATATCATGTTACTAAGTCTCCAACAAACAGATACTTTTTTTAAGGATTTGTGCCTAACAAGGAGAGGAAGAAACTGAAATTATGGTTTTAAGTAGCTGTTTTCCTGAGGTTATTAGTAAAATTGATTACCGATTAATAAATTAGGACTCATAAAAGTTCGACACAGAATTTCTCTATTAATTCTGTTCGTTTATAAAATTTAAACGATGCAATCAAAACAACAATTGATGTTGTTTTGATGGGATAGTGTATTTTTAGAACTTGATATCTTCGTAGTTAAGACATTTTCTGTCATATTAATATTCCTTCATTGTATGACTTGGTTTGTGATGAATTTACATCAGTATTACATACATTTATATTTCTCAATATTTTGGCTCACTAAATAAACACATGAAATAAACTAATTTGATGCATAAAGATGTTTATTTTAAACAGAAAGTTAAAAGGAACAGATTTAACTTAAACTTAAGTGTCGTTCAGAGAATGTTATTCAAACTACTTCTAGTAAGTGTCATGTAAGTTATTATATTTAACATTTTCAAGTCGACATTTGGTAGACCACGTCTCTAAAAACTCTCATCCAACATAATCATATATTGGCAGTTTATTGCAAAAGCAAAACAGGGAGGAAATGGTCTATATATACTATATATACTAGTAGAGAAAATTACAAGGTCATACTACCAAGCGTTGGAAATTATTGAAAAGTACATTCATACAGCTAGACAATGGGAATACAAATCAGCTAACAAGCAATTAGTTTAAAACTAAATTGAACAAATGATAGGACTTGTCCTCATTTGTTGATGCAAAGGTAACAGTGGTGTAAATAAAGTGACATCTAACAAAGACAATCCTAAAAATGAGGTCAAAGTTAGAAGCGTCCAAACTAACAAAGAAGATATAGAGAGTCTGAATTCACATCTACAGAAATATAAAACCCATATACATATATCATCAGACAAGTTATCCCTGAACATAGAAAAATGACATGAATTATATGGTTCTCTTAGAAAAATAAAAATTTAGAACAACATCTGCCTTCCATGTGAATCGATTATAAATAGAGAATAGGAAAATAATTATTCAACATGTATCACTATATGATGGATTTATGAACTTACCAGCTTGTCAGTAACCTAGGTGGAGGTGGAAGTTTAATTCGACCATCGTTCGGTGCCCATAGACGACGCAGTGTTAGCTGAGGCAGTATCATATTGGAAGGGGAGGATTGATTTGGGGCTGAATTAGCTGAAGTACTGATTATTGTCTGATCAAGTGCTTTATTTGGCCGTAGAGGGAGGAACTGATGAGTTTTCGACTGGCTAGTTTTTCGTATCAGGGCTGAAATTTGTTCACATATGGAAGCTTCAGAAGTTTGAGAATGTTGTGGTTAGTTGTACCAGCAGGAAATGGAGCCACAGATGCACATAATCCCACACTTCGTAAAGCTGCACCTAAGGATGGGGGTAGTTTAATAGGCTGTTGCATAAATAACAGAAAAACAAAGTGGATCATTATATTAGTGTGGATTCGTGTACATAGTTAGATTTTCTCACTAGCCTAAAATATTCGCATATCCAAATGGTAAATATTTTTAAAAATAACCATAAAAAAACATTCCAAACTAATAATTAAACATGTTAAAACATTCGAAATGCCATACGCTCACAATTGTTTGGGAATTTTATAAACCGAATATTTCAGAGAGTCTATCCGAGCATTTACTCATATTAGCTTTCTAATCAACAACAAAAAAGCGCTTGTAGATGATATCCAAATAATCCGGACAAGTTAGCAGAATTTTATAACTAAAAACACTTTAAAATCCCAAATAATGATGACAAAAGTTACAAATTAGCATTTTATAAAAGTTTACCACACTTCAAAACGAATGGCCAATTATGAGTTCATGAAGTGTATATTTTATTTACTTAATGGCAATAATTTAATTATCTCAAAATTACTCCATATTGCTACAATCAATGAGAAAGATATTTCCCTATATTTAACATCTGTTACATATAAGCAAATATTGAAACCTTAAAAAGATATCGGTAATCTTAAACTTTAAGCTATTTATCAGGAAATATTAGTCATCCTGAAAGAGAGAATGGACTCATTTTTTGAGTAGTTCCTATGATAATAATCAGAGATCTACATTAGACGTAATATGACGTGATAACAACACAATGGATATTGTAAAATTAATTTAAAGTACATTGTGTCATGTTCCTATGCTGGTTAACAGCAAAAAACGAGATGTTAACATGATACTAACCAAGACTGAATTGAATAAAATTACAACTTCAGTGAAATCATGAATTGATCAAAGTTAGATCACCATTGAAAACCTGAAAGAACTGGATAGTCATTTCGCCCTAGCATGAGAATCCTCAAAAGTGTACATTTTTTTCCCACATGCAGGAATCGAACCCAGGGCCTCGCGTGAAAACACAATCCCTAGACTACTGAGTCGGCATTTAACGATACTTATGTCTGACTTCAATCAATTCACGATATTACTAATTCAGCTCGTAACCCAATCATTGAAAATTTATTCAAATAATAAACGAAGTAAGAAGTTGAAATCTAAGAATACTCGAGAAAGAATAAATAAAGACCTATTAGTTATGTAAGAACAAAAATACAAAATAAAATTTGAAAACTTAAACACTTGTGTCAGTTCTCTAACTAGATGGTATTATTAAGTCAAGGATAATAATAACAAGACTGTGAATTATTCGAGCGAAAGATGTGGTTCGGGCTAATGTAAAAAAAAAAAAATGACAACTGAAATTGACGTACTTATCGTTTATGAAATAATTTTTGAAATATATGCTTCATCTGAAATATATAGCTAATGCATCATAAATGTTGAGTAATTTATGTAGTCTCACAAAATAATGTACTTGCTGGGAGGGGGATAAATATCCTCCTTCGTTAGATAAGTGTTTTCTTTTAATGTATGTACATTGTGAAGAGACTTTAAAGACAAAATAAAGTGAAAATCACAACTGAACACTTTGAAACTCGTCTGATTGCCATAAAGAACAACCACTTAATATAACGTTTTGTGACAATGAAAACTAATAATTTCGAAGATCGAAAATGCTGCACGAAATTAATGGTCAAAACAGAACTTATTCTAAGAAAAAGAGAATTCAGCGGAGAAAATTTTCTTTTCAACGAAATCATTTACTTAAGCTGTACATTCGTAGTGTTCGGTTTTGACCATTAAATTCGTGGTAAATATATTTCTATAGGAGGATAGAAAAGATTGCATCATAAATTGATTCGAGACTAAATATCAAATGAAATTACGTAATAACTTCCCATACAACTATATATACGAATGTACAGCTTAAGTAAATAATTTCGTCGGAAAGAAAATACCCTTTGCTGAATTCACTTTTTCTTATTCAATGACATTATGGGTTATTTTAATTAATTTACTCTAAATTGATTGGAATCATATCCGAATAAGGTACCCAGTAAGAATAATACAAGTGATTCAACGACTGTTATTGAGAGAATTGAATCGAAATTGTCACAAATATTCAGGCTGATTTCATTAATTTATGGAAAAACGGATCAATGCAATGATAAATAATGTTCAACTAAATATATGAAAGTAACACAGACCGTAGTAAATAGTGGGAAATGTGATGGGCGAAACTAAATTGTGAATCAATCCGAAGTAATGGATAAGGAAACAGGGGGTGAAATACCGAGATAAAATAAACATTAATTAGGAATCAATTCGAAAATAATAGCAAAATACCGTTCTAAATCGCCATAACCATTTATAATATTTTAAAGGCGGCATACATTAAAGGAAAACCTTAATGCCTAGAAAATGAAATTGCAGAAAACAAAGGAATTTGTTTTCAATGTAAGCTGAAAAGAAAATTTTCGTATGCAGAAAATGAGGGTATAATGAACAAGGGATACTTAGAGAAGATATTCATGCAAAAATGATCGAGAATGTTTTACGTGATTGGACGTTTAATATGACATACTAATTAAACAGTGATGAGGCAAATGAACAGAAAAATAAACTGACCTGTGCAAACTTAATTTTGAATTCTTCCAGGCGACGATGAGCGTCCACAGCAACCACAGGTTCTTTGGTATTAGATTTCCCAACAACTTCATGACCACGCACAGTATTAATATTGGAAAGAATAGAATTAACATTCACATTTAACCGACGACCCGTGTACAAACGAAGATAACACCGCCAGTTGGTAGAATCAAAACCCAATGGTTTAAATTATCAACTTCAGTGACGGTATGTGTATGTCCAACAAACTGCTCAGGAGAAAAATATCGACAACATGTGACACACTTGATACATTTTGAATAAGGTTCCTTATACATATTCGGATATATTAATCCCAATTGTCGTCCAAAACATTCATGTATTACTGGAATAACACTAGATTCCACAGCATTTTTACAATTATTCTCGGGCTGGTTTTCATCATGACCAGAATCTAAGCGGTCTGCTGACTGTGCATTATCTACTGATTTAGTTGATTTAGAAGTGTCAGTTGAGACAGGGCTCAGTTGTCGATGGTCCTTAATAAAGCCCATACCAGTAGTAGTTTTCATCTCAGAATCTTCACCAATGCAGGGATTAATTGGAGATTTACATGTTGAACTCTCTTCACAATTAGATCCCTCCAGACACATATTTTGATGACGAATATACTTGGTCAACCTTTCTGCGTCACTTTTACGAATTAGACCACAACTACCGACAGTACGAGGAAGTATTTGGCGTGAATGTAACAGACTTAATTGAGCTGGAGTACACGTTGTGCATGCTATTTGAAGCTTTGTACATGCCTTATCTATGATCTGCAAATCCACATCGTGTAGCACAAAACGAAATAAATGTGGTAAACATAATCGTTTTTCTCCCCAAACATTAAATCCCATTATGACTTCACCGTCAATCAGACTGGGAACTAAAGTACCAGTATCTTGGGATTCAACTGACGCAAGAGGATTAGATGTACTATTTGAACCCCAATTTGTCTTTGGTCTCTCTGATTGTCTTTTTAATGTAGGCCGAACTGTAGGTTGACGACAAGCAAAGAAATTCTCACAATCATTAAATGAAGAGGAACGAGAATGTTCTGGTCGAGATGTACATTTACTAGTGATCTTTGGTTTTACTTCGGGTACTGATGGTTCAAAAGGTGCATGTATGTTCGTAGCTCGGGGCAACCTCATATTAAGAGGTTGGGAAGGTAAAGGTGGTAAGTAAATGTCCTTGAGCATGTACCGTGGTAAAGACAAAAGACCCATTTGAAGACTGGATGCAAGAGCATGCTGAAACCAACCTGGAGAATTTAATAAATTGTTAGGTGTACAAAGAGTTTTTTGGGGATTTACAAGATCAGATCTACGAAGTAGTTCAGGTGATTGCGATGGTGCGAGCGAAAGATCATAGTCCTGAGGTCTTCCGAAAATTCGTGAAACTAGATTCTGTCTGAATTCAGCCACATCCGCCAGAGGTGATGTTGAGAAGTATGGATTATTGGGAAGAGGGAACGCCATAACGTACGTCCAAAAAATAATGTAATATCATATAGCAACGTTCAAGTTTGAACTGACAAGTATAAATGGAATTAACCCAAATGCTTCCTCACAAAACATTTCGAAGCAAAATGACCAGACGTCCCCAAACCCTATTATTTAAAAAAACGCTTCTGACAGATACCTGTCTACAATTAAAAACACGGATCACAGACGGGCCATGGGAGGGGTGTGAGGTATGAACATAACAAGGTCACACACACCAAAACGAAACGTGGGCTGGTTAAGAGAACACGCGTGGCTATTGTCTGGATTATTGTTTGTTGTCTGTCTATCTTAGTCTATGCCCTTAAACATGTCCTTCAAATTTTCTCACTTGATCGTTTTGCTATACGACGTGTCTTTGTAAAATGAGTGGGTGAGATATGAAAATACGAAACGAACCCTTATTGACCTCTGACTGGTTAACTAGCTAGCCAATCAAAAACAAGATATTATATAGCAAACATGTAAAATAGTTTCCTCATTTAAATATCACGAAACAGTAGTTACTGGCGCTAAAGATAGGCTTATGATGTCTTTTTTTCACTGTCTGGACGTGACTTTGCCCCTGGTGGGAAATATTTCAACTAGGAGACACTTTATATTAATAAAAAAGTACTTTTTCGCACCGCATCGATCAAATGATAAGTTTGGTATTAATGTTCACTTAATTTGATTCCACTTAGCTTAGCGAGCATTGAGGGGAAGGACAAAAGTAATTATTCGCCTTAAGTTATCCACTACATCAACGTATACATGACACGTTACTACTTATACCGTATTTATCACGCCAAAACTGTAGTGATACTGAATATTCATGACAGATTTTTGTTAGCACAGGCAGAAATGAAATTCAGCGTCAATCTTTCGACCAACCCTCCTCTGGGACTAGAAATACAATTATTTGTGATAGAGGTTGAATTTAGTTTCACTCTAATAGCAGCTACTGATTCAAGGTTGTCTTTAAGCATAGTGAAACATAACAGTGAAGTAAATTGTGTCATTCAATCCTCTTAAGCTCAACATAGGAAGCACTTATTAATAACCGAGATAGCTTCTCCTTAACCGTGATAGAACTGATCCTTGTTTTGAGGAAATCAACTTCCACACTTTATTACTGTTTAAACAATGCCCTTTGAAAAAAATTACAAAGTACTGAGCGGTTTGAATGTTTTTTCAAGTTAGCGCTTCCTTTCCAGGGATTTTTTTCTAATCTTTGCTAACCCCGACCATCCTTTGCCAGGGCTTCGGACCGCCGTTAATCCTAGAAAGGCTCTAAACTGAACTAATGAATATTAGTTGGATAATTTATGTGTCTTTTTACGGTACTCCCCAGTCATTGTAATAAAAAAATTTCCGTCATCCGTATGACCTGATTATGTTGTATATGTTAGATATAACTTTTTTCAATGACCGAAACATTTACATTTTCTAACAAGTAAGGAGGCAGAAGTAGAGTTTATGATTGAAATTTTAAAGAATGTGTATTATTGTTAATCAATTAGGAAGTTGGTTTTTTGAGATCTTATATACATATATTCCATATCAATCTTTACTGAAAATCAGATTCCATTTAATCTCCAGAACTAGTATTAGGCTTCCAGAATTTGTAATAACAAGTCGAAATTATAAAAGTATGCTATACTGACCGCCTTAACTGCACTAATCAGTTAAAATAACGTCTGTGGATTTTGGTGTAAAACTGAAAGCACAGTGCAAGATACTTTGTATGTTACTAACATCTAAGTGAAAATTGGCGATATTTAGATTCTAAAAGGCTAAAAATTGATGAAGATATATATTATGTAACCAAACAGTGAGTATGATATCGTGCTCAACCTAAATTATAAGAAGTACCTGCCACTAATGCAGACTGTGTCAAAGTACCTGATCTGATGCGGTGCAAGAACCAGGGTGTTTCTATAGCTTGACAGTAATCTCGCACTTCACTCCTGACCCTAAAGTTTAACGCTAACTATTTAAGTTTAAACAAAAGGGTTATAAAGCATTGTTGTATTGTAGTTGATGTCAGTTAATGAGGAAAACCCTAACTCAGAACAATATCCAAAATTCTAATACATAACTGGAAGCACTGGATGGCCGTTTCGTCCTAGTGTGGGATTCCTCAGCAATGCGCACCCACGATCCCGCACCTGAAACTCTAACCAAGGATCTTCGGTTTCGAGCGCGAACGCCTAACGTCTAGATCCAACGGTGTCCATGTCTAACTTCAGTCGATCTATGATCTTGCACAAACCTTCGTCCATTGTCTGAAGTGGATAACTGTCTCCACCCGACACGGATTGAACTCCACTGTTCATGGCTTCTTACTAGAACTCCAGGAAATCCATCTTGAAGCTAGTCATCAATGAGCACATGATTATTATCAAAATTGGGATTTAGGGAAATTGTATTTACTCTATCAGTGTTCCATATTTTACTTTTATCCATTACTATTCCACTGAAAGCAAGCATTAATGACTTCCAATGATTGAATATGTATTTTGGAGTTATTTTTATGACAAATAATCAATTTTTCTCTCTTACTTGTTGATAGTCATTAATATGTCTTTCTTCTAGTTAGATTAACTTAACGTTATTGAGAATTATTACTTAGAGATATAGTCGTCTATAGTAAAATAAGGGCAAGATAGTTAACTCTTTAAACATATATAAAATATTAGACGTTCATTGATATAGTTCTCCATTTTTATTAATACAAGAATAAATATTAGCATTAGAAAATGATGGAGAAAAATATGTATTTTAACCTTGTCCTCAATTTGACCTTCAACGTACATGTTCTTAGAAAAGAACATAACAAACTGAGCACATTATTTTACTTTATATAAGGATATAGTGTTTGTGTATATGTGTGTGGTTGTGAGGAATAAGGAAATAGAGAAAATAATGGTATAAGTTTGTGATAATCTGGTAATGTACTAATTATTCATTCATTCATATTCTAATAGGTCGTACTCTCTTCTTAATATTACTGGCATTACTATTACTATTGTGTTTATAATCTATCAGTGTGAAGAATACATGTAAACTGGCTATAATAATAATAATAATAATAATAATAATAATAATAATAATAATAATAATAATAATACAAACGTTGCTGTCTTTAAATTGCAGAAAATCGATAATTGACCTGATATAGACAGCATAGAAAGTGTACTGAATTTCGATATTCATTGTCAGTTATTAAGTTAGTCAATTCTTTATAATACAATTAAAGTATTTAGTCAATGAATAAATTAACAACATCTAACATTGTGTCATTTTTCATAGCATTCGATTTCCGTTTAAAATAAAATGAGAAAAGTTGGTGTAAAGTTGTTAGAAGGATTCTGAAACAGCGAACTTTAGACTAAGGTTTCATACTAGTTGGCATTCTCAATAAGCTATATCTCCACTAATGATTGGAGTGATAGTCTCAGTGGGATTGTAATTCATAATATATCGCGTTACGAGAACGTTATCATTGAACTTCGGTTGAATAGATTTACTTAAACTGGTTGATTATCGAACCCCAACTACGGTTACTGTCGTTCATTCATTACTAGTTTTCTAATTCTGTCTTAGATCATGGACTGAATATCTCAGTCGTAACTTCAAAGGGTAGTTTCGAACACAATATAAAGCATGCGTTCTCATAAGATTCTAGGCACACTTTGGTGAAATGAACCACGTAGCAATAAATCTAGATCCACGGTTTCTTTTTGACTGCTCTCTACCAATCGATCAAAATATACTTCACGCGATGTCTAGTCACGTAGATTGGTGTTTACATTACAACTAAATCTACAAAATTTGACTAATAATACGAAATAGACAAAAATGACATTGGTTACTATTCTGTGACCAATAGTCGTAGGAAAATTGTCAATTGAGTGACACTTGGAAGCTGAATATCAATTGGTTAGATCTAAAACTGTGAACCAAGGTATCCCAAGTAAGTAATGAGCTAAAGGTAACATGTTTATTGTAATTCTTGAATCTATTATATTAGATGTGGTTCACACTGTTGTGTCTTGGAATGACTTATTAAAAATTGAGCCTTTATTACTTATAGTCAATAACAATGCATACAGATTTCCACAAAAAAGTCAGGAAGATACTGTCCAACTGGCTTAATTGAATTCAATATAGCAATAATCACAGAAATCGAAAGCGCAAAAGGTATTTTATTGTTTCATTAAAGATTTGTAGTGTAGCGTCGAGTCACGTTTGACTTTGATCACCACTACAGGAAGACTACTTGCCAGTTAACCGATAAGATCCCCTGTAGGCCAAATATCAGAAGGTAGTTGATGGCTGTAGTCGAGATGTATTTGTTGGCGATCTCGTGGTATCGAATGAATATCGAGATCGTGCCAGGTTACAGGTGTGGTTACTGAGCCTAACCGAATTCGTGCAAGGTCACAATCAACGGAAGAAAGAATGTCTTTAGTACAGTTAAACAAACAAGTACAGTAAAACAATCACTGGTATAATTGGTTATAATAATAATTGTTTCCATTAGACCAATCGCGTTCTCTTGAGAAAAGTAGGTCACTACAGATTTATGTGCAGTTTGAAATTAAACAGTTATACAATAACTGGTGTCTTCATATATCTGTTTAGTTATTAACAAGATTGCAAATAAATCCAACCAGTAGGGGATGGTACTATGTCAAGCCCGCATAGATTATTCTAGCCTCTGGACTAATCAGTCTATTCATTCTTATCAAGCTACATTTTTACGTTGTCACTTACCCGCTTATTAATCCTGACTGCTTTTTATTTGATCGTATGTGAGCTAATTACTTACCTTACTCATTATTTTGTCTGTGACTTTTTATCTGACCACAAATAACGATTCACGCTTGACTAAATCGAATTGACTCACCTTATCCATTCCATTTCGCATCATTTTTATTTTGCTTCGCTTTCCGATCAACGATTGTACTAAATATACCTATTCAAAAATC